TATATATATATATATATATTATGGAGCTGAAATTACACCATGGTAAAAGATTATGCGATGAAATTCAATTACACATATTCACAAGAAGTTGTAAACCGACTTCGTATCAGATATTTCACCAAAAAAAAAATGCATAGAAAGACAAGGAAATGGGCCGTGTCGAGTTACGTTGGTCAAGATTTTTCTTGTTTCACAAAAACGTGATTCGAAAGAAACTTTATACAAGATATATACGTGTATATACACATATTATATTATATTATATGTTTGAAAGCGTCCGACGGCACGGAAAGAGAGGGAGCCCGAGATTTTAATTAAATTTTCAAAAGAAAGGAAAAAAAAAAGGAAGAATATGTAATTGAAACCGTTGTGTTTGCGATTTTCCAAATTGGAAAAAAAAATCCGAGCATGGTTATTATACGACCGACAATCTATTTTCCAGCTGGCATCCTCTCTCTCTAGAAGAAGTTTCGTCTTTTCTTTATTAATTTACGCAGGCAAATATTCATAAGTCACACTCTCGTTTAGTCCACCTTTTTTTTTATCGTGCCTATGAATGCTAAGGAAAAAAAAAAGAAATTAACCGATACAATATTAAATATAAATTTATAAAAAAACAAAAAAGAGGGATAAGGAAAAGAGAAGAGAGAGGGAGTGAGCAGAAGATGTCGGTGGTTGATTGGACCCAACAAGTGAGGGTTTACTCTTTTATTAGTCTCTTGAGAGATAAAATCATCCAATCCGAAGTACATAAGAAGACGTACGATGTCCTTCTCTTTCAGTCAGAGACTTTCGTTTTCGGACTCATGGTGAGAATTTTGACCAAAAGGCTAAGAACATTTGTTTGATTTGGTGACGACGCTTGTGTTGTGCGTGTTCTTACTGTTCACGAACTGGCGATCATGCAAGGTGATGAGTATTTTTGATTAAAGAGTTGGTGTACGTATTTTGTTTTTCTTTTGGGTTATTGTTATCTCGAATCACGTGAGGTGACAGAGGACGGTGATCCCAAAGTGAACAGCACGAACACGTGCGACCTCATGTGCCCATAATGACACTCGTTGTTGTTCTTATTATCGATACTAATATAGTATTATCATTATTATAAGTTTCACTAAATGTTTGAAGTACTCCTCATCGCAACGCACTCTCCCTTCAGTCAAAACCCTTTTGTTTACACATAATCCTTCTGACGGATAACATGCAACTATTCTGACCTTCGCAACGCACTCTCCCTTCAGTCAAAACCCTTTTGTTTACACATAATCCTTCTGACGGATAACATGCAAATATTATGACCTTACTTTCCCCGTATCCCCCATCTTGTCCCCCCCCCCGCCCCTTTTTGTACGGTTTTCCATGTTCCATCACTTATTATAACATATATATATATTCATTCACATAAAACGTATACACCATTCACGCAGCACAAGCGGCAGTGTTTGTTTGTATCGCCATTGTCATTTTGTTGTATTCTCTTAGGACCATCTGGTAACTCCCGAGAAGAGAAAAAAGAGTAAGAAGGGAGGCGTTAACATTAGGAAATGGGAGTACATGAATACAATAGGTCTAATCAGACAAGAATACCTCCGATATGTATTATACATGATGCCGACAAATGGTTACACAGTCTGTTGCCTTCTAAACGTGCAAGGAGAATGGAGGGGAATTATGATTGCACTGCGGAGTTTGGTCGGTTTTTTTTTTTAATTCTAGAGTCAAAACAGTTTCAGTACAGAGACAAATGCACGAACCATGAATGAGAGAGGGCGCATGTCAGGATCGACGTATTTAATATTTCTCAACGACCAGCAAAGGGGAAACAAGAGCGATTTAATCAGTCGTGCAGTGATTATGGGCCGTGGAGCCCAATTTCAGTACACTCGTCTCAGAACCTTTACAGTCAAGAGTCTACGACACTGACCAGTGGAAGCCCTAATTTTATGTTGGCCGAAACAAAGTGCCAGAGAAAGAGAGACGCAGACATAAAACACGACAAATGTCCATTAAAAAAAAAACACCAATAAAAGACAAGGAAAAAAACCCCACCTTGCAACAGTTAAAGAGGTGAAAAAACAATAATCAGAGTAGAGCCAGATTCCACTTTCCCTTAAAAACGTTAAACAAAATAATCCGACGAGCAAAAACTTGGGGGAAAATGAAGAAGCTTTACTTACTACTACTCATCGTTCTGGCTCTCGTCCTTCACCAGTTTGATCATATCGTCGATTCGGAGAATGGTTATGGCGGCTTCAGTGGCAAACTGGCGAAAATTGTAATAGAAAAAGAAACGGCTATATGTTACGGAGAGCGTCAGGTGTCAACAATGAAGGAAACCATCCTACTTTGTAGAAATTCACCTGGATTATCTTCACTTTGCTCATTGCAGGTTCTATCACTCCTGCTTCCAAGTTGTTACGGATGGTTCCATTTAAGAGGTCGAGTCCCATACTGAAATTAAATTTCAGAGATGCCCATTTCAACAAACCGAACTCACCCAAAAAAAAAAAAAAAAAACTCAAAACGGAGGGAGGGGGATGACGATCGATCCATAATTACATCATTACCTCGAATAGTGCTTCTTATCGGCCTTGGTTTGTGCAGTGTGGTGGTATGCTCGTAATTTAGCAACTAACTCGGTCGCGTCTTTGGCGGCATTAACAGCAAGCACCTGAGAATTCGGATAATAATGGACCGTCCAATCCATTCGCACAAAAAAGTAACATGCAAGGGAAGAAATATTACTCATGGGATCATATGATGCCATACCTTGGGAATAATCAGCAAGGAATCAGCAAATTCAGCGATGGCCAATTGTTCACGGGAACCTAGGGTTGTTGCAAGATGCTCCAAATACACAGACAAAGCCGATTCAACTGCACCTCCACCGGCAACCACCTGTTTCACAACAAGACAAGACAAAACAAAAAAAAACTCGACCCTAAAACACCAGTTGACGAGATCTCTATCTTTGACAGGTTGCATGTTTAGAAATAACAATTTACCGTATTGGATTCAAGGGTCCTCTTGACAATACACAAGGCATCGTGGAGCGCTCTCTCCATCTCATCAAGCATGTAATCGTTCGCACCTCTTAGGATCAAGGAAACCTAATAGCCATCAATGATCAAGAGTTTGGTGTTAGTTTTAGAAAAAAACTTTAGAAAATAATTATATAAAAGGGATCGAATGAAGATAAGGTGTTTTCTTGAAACAGGATCAATGAAGAAGATCCGAGTTGGAGAAATTAAACGACATACCGCACTAGTTGTTTTGGTTCCCTTTATCAATATGACATCATCGTCAGCAATTCTCTCCTCCACAACTTCCTCTGCATATCCGAGGTGTGAGGGATCAAACGTCTCCTCCCCTTCCATGTCAGCAAAAGTGGTCACCTGATGAGCAAAGATATTCCAGTAATCAGTTGGGATTGATCTTTTCGAATATTTCAAATTGCCAACTCAGATTTTATAATCTGTAGCTGAGAATCACCAGAGTTGCTCCTGTTGCCTTAGCAACATGTCGCATGTCATCTTTGCGCACACGTCTAACAGCGATAGCTCCAGCCTCCACAAAGTACTGAAAAAAAATGAGATGGAACTCCATAAATTTTTTAAAAAAAAACCAGCATTATAGTCTCCGGCGAAGCAAAAAACAAAGCTTAGTAGTCAGAACTCAGAGCTTAAAAGGATCAAATCGAACTACTGTAAGAGCCAACACAGAGAGAAAAATTAGTCATGAAGCTCACTTTAAGAGCCATATCATCAATCCCTTTTGTCGTCAGAATTACATTGGCTCCAGCTTTCAGAAGTTTCTCTATTCGTTCTTTGGTTGTGTCAGCTTCTCTGTAAAAAACAAGGTTTTAACCACAAAATATATATGAAACATCGTCTATCACAAAATACCAGTGGTGAATATATATATCAACCAAATGTTTCTTTCACAGCTCAGGACAAACATCAATTACTTCAAGGAGAAAGAAGCATAAAACTACAATCCAAGTGAGCAGACAGTGTGTCAAATGATCTTGTACATTTGAATGTGTTTGTAAGTGCAAAACAGGCATCTTTACCTCTGGCGAATCCTTTCAAGTTCCCTTGGATCGGAAACAACAACCTGGACACCCAATTGCATTTTCGTCTTCTGCAAATTAAAGTCTAGGCAGGCAATCTTCGCTGGAGAAACTCGTAAAGGCATTCCTTGGGCAGCACGGCCAGTATTGAGTGCATATCCATTCAACAAGTAGCTATCTTTTGCACTTTGACCATGGGCTTTCAGAATATTGATGCCCTGAACAGTAGCAAGAGAACGGTTAAAGCATTAAAAAAGTATCAACCATGCTCCAAATATGCATAAAAGGAACTTCCACAGAGGAAAAGCAACAAACCTTGATAGGGTATCTTATTTCACCTCGAGCATTTGTCATCTTCACTGCTTGAACAGCATCCACAACCTTCAAGACAAATGTAAGCATAACAAATCAACCATGTTCAATCATCTCTGCAATTTAACATTTCTCTGGTTTTCTGATCTTAGAAAATAAAGATAGCATGAAAGGAATTGCTAAATTTAGGCTGACAAGAGTCATCCCAATTACACGACAGAACAGAACAATCCTAGAAACATAGAAAAAACATTAAACCCAAAACAGGCATATCAACATAAACATAAGGGTAAGACGAATTAGAAACATACCAGATTAGAAAAGAAATCACTGTCACCGGATATCAGCTTGGAGGACATACTGGTTTTTGCGCAGTTCACCAGAGAAGTTTTTCCAAGCTTATCGGCCTAGGGGAAGAAAAAAACATTAAAATATTGGAAGGGTCAAAAACACAACCAGGTGTGAAAGGAAAGCTGAACGAAGCAGGAAAACAGGGCTAACCTTTGTCGCCAACTTTTCTTCTATGTACTTGCAAGCTTCTCTCATCGCTAGCTGCTCGTAGCAAGGCATACAAAAACACAGTAGGAGTAAGTTTATACTGCTAGCCACCTAATATGAAAAAGACAACATATTACCCTGTATCCACTGATTATAGATGTCGGATGTATCTTATTCCTGACAAGATCATTTGCCCTCTGCAAATGAATTCATCAGATCATCAGTCATCAAACACTCGAGATATGTAACACCATTCACAGCTCTTTTTGAGAATCACAAGTAAATAGTTACAGTGTTACACATACAAATTGCTAAAACTAAAATCGATTGAAATAACCTTCAGTAACTCAGCAGCAACGATAACAACTGATGTAGTTCCATCTCCAACTTCCTTGTCCTGAAGTTCAGCCAACTCGACAAGAACCTGTCGCATAAAACAGCAGAACATGGGCCAATGCGGATAAGAATTCATAATTAGTCCTCAGAAGACTCCTCTCACCAATGACATCATGCAGAAAACACATGATGACGATGATGAGAAATCTATCCATAAACATCTATGTTCAAATAGTTCACCTTAGCAGCTGGGTGTTCGACCTCTAACATCCTCAAAATTGTGGCACCATCATTTGTAATTGTCACATCACCAATGTCATCCACCAACATCTGGAAAGGAAGGAAGCCAACAAGATAATGTTTGGGTTAAGGCGAAAATCTAATGTACCAATATAGAATTAGTTAACTGGGAATGGCTACTCATTTAAACTTATTCTAAACCGGCTAATCGAATCACAGATTTTCTCACTCGAAAACCTAAGGGAATCATCAGTGCTGTCAAAACACAGAGCCAATTAAAGGAATGCAACAGTGGCAAGCATATATTCGCTTGGGATAGACTGTCTATGTTAGATGCAAAGTAGAATACAAAAATTCAACCAGAAAAAGCTCGTATAGCAGTCGACATGGATGCAACACATACCTTGTCGAGCCCGACAGGACCAAGTGAGGTCTTGACAATGTTGGCAACAGCTTGGCAAGCCACCACTGCATTAACAACATAAAAAAGACGAATCACAATCACACCGGCAACAGATTCCTAGACCATACAACGTCAAAAGATAAACCCTAGAACTCGAAATGGAACTAAAATTTCCGAGAAACAAAAAACAAGTAAACCACGGAAGCAAAGAATGCGAAGGAGCGTAGGAAGCGAGAGAGAGAAAGAGTACCGTTCTGAGTACGAACATCTTGACCGGATTGCCTTTCGCCGGAAATATCAGGATTCTGAGCAGAGATCGACATTTCGGATGGTTTGACGAACAGCGACGGAGAACAAAAAAGGCGCGAAACAAAACCCTAGATCGGAGATCTGAGAGCTCCGCGAGAGAGGAAGAGCG